CTTTAGTGACTCATGATCGGTGTGTATTACGAACTCCTTCAGCCATAGATAATGTTGCCAAGTCTCCAAAGCTCGAACAAGTGCATAAAGTTCTTTGTCATATGTAGGATAATTTAAAGCAGCTCCACTCAATTTCTCGCTAAAGTATGCAATAGGCCTCCGATCCTGCATTAAAACTGCTCCAATCCCTATTCCTGATGCATCACACTCAATCTCGAATGTTTTATCAAAGTTAGGTAATGCCAAAATAGGTGCTTCACACAATCTACCTTTAATAGTATTAAATGCAAGTTCTTGTTCATCACCCCAATGAAAACCTACACTCTTTTTAACTACTTCCGTGAGTGGTGCAGTGATAGTGCTAAAATCCTCCACAAATCGCCTATAAAAACTAGTCAAACCATGAAAACTCCTAACTTTCGTTATGCTTTTAGGTGTCGGCCAATCTCTAATAGCTTTTATCTTTTCATCGTCTACTTCTACCCAATTAGCACTAACCACAAATCCAAGAACTATAATTCTATCCATACAAAATGTGCATTTCTTAAGTTTAGCATAGAGTTGTTCTTTCCTTAAAACAATTAGCATACATTTTAAATGTTCCAAATGCTCTCCTAGGTTTTTGCTATAGATTAAGATGTCGTCAAAATAAACCACAACAAATTTTCCTATAAAAGCACGTAAAACATGATTCATTAAACGCATAAAAGTGCTAGGTGCTTTTGTGAGTCCAAACGACATAACCAACCATTCATATAAACCATATTTAGTTTTAAAAGCCATTTTCCATTCATCACCCTCCTGCATACGAATTTGATGATACCCGCTTTTTAAATCAATTTTAGAAACTATGCAAGAACCATGTAATTCATCAACCATGTCATCTAACCTAGGTATAAGGTGACGATACTTTACCGTTATGTTGTTGATAGCCCTACAATCCATGCACATTCGCCATGTTCCATCATTTTTTGGTACGAACCAAACCAGTACTGCACAAGGACTCATGCTTTCCCTCACGCATCCTTTGCTCATCAATTCCTCCACTTGTTTTTTAAGCTCCTTGGTTTCCTCGAGATTACTTCGATAAGCCGATCGATTTGGAATGACAGCTCCGGGTATGAAGTCAATTTGATGTTCAATGCCTCGAATAGGCGGCAATCCACTTGGTGCATCCTCCGAAAATACATCGTCGAATTCCTGCAACAAAGACTTAGCCAAACTAGGGAGGGGTGGGTTAGTTTCCTCAAAATTGAGGAGTGATTCCTTATAAATGAACAAGATCATCTCTTTTCTCTCAACTACCGCCCTCCTCAAATCACTCTCTTTTGCAAAGAAATTCGCTCGTGTTTTCTCTTTTCTCTTGGGGCACTCTCTTTCTTTTTTCTCTTGTGATTACTCTCTCTTTTTCTCTCTAATGGCTATCTCAACATTTTCTCTCTTTTTTTCCAACTCACTATTTGCTCTCATTTTTTCTAACTCTTTTGCTCTCCTCTCTTGCTCACTTCTCAATTTTAATTGGTCCTCATAGACTTGCGCCAGTGTTAATGGCACAATAGTAATGGTCCTTCCATCCTCAATGAAACTATATCGATTTTTGTACCCATCATGCATAGCTTTCCTATCGTATTGCCATGGTCGCCCCAATAAAATATGTCCCGCTTGCTTTGGCACCACATCACACACTAACTCATCCTTATAACTCCCAATTGACAAATTAATTAACACTCTTCAATTCACCCTCACCTCACCACTCTCATTCAACCATTGCAATTTATAAGGTCTCGGGTGTTTCAACAATGTTAAACCCAACTTTTCTACAAGAGATACGCTAGCTACATTAGTGCAACTATCACCATCAATTATAACACTACATATCATATTGTTGACATGGCATCGAGTGTGGAAAATGTTCTCCCATTGCAATTCCAAGTCATCCACTTTGACGTGAGTAATGAGAGCTCGCCTTGTGACTAATAGATCCCCAACCGGCCCTTCAACTTTTTCTTCTCAACGCCGGCATGTCATCAAACTCGCCATCACTATCGCTCACAATCTCTCCATTATCCAGCAACACCATCGCCCATTTGTTTGGGCATTGAGAAGCAATATGCCCCGTTCCCAAATACCTAAAACATTTGATGTCCCGATTGCGCGACGGTTGTGCCTCCGGTTTTGATATTGGTTTGCTAGCATTTTCATCCTTTCCCTTTTGCCAATCACTTTTACCCCTAGGTGTAGCCCCGTTTTTATTGTTGTCATCCCACTTCGATTTCCATGTTGGATTAGGAGCTGAAGTACCTAACGGTTGCCGAGATGTCCCCTTCCTCTTCAATTGCTTCTCGACCTTCATTGCCACATGTAACATGTCCTCAATTTCCACATAATGTTGCAACTCTACAACGTTTGCAATATCCCTATTTAACCCATTCAAGAACCGTGCCATGGTAGCTTCCCGATCTTCCTCCACATTAGCCCGAATCATAAGAATTTCCATCTCCTTGTGATAATCCTCTATACTTTTCGATCCTTGATACAAACCTTGCAATTTTTGATGGATTTCCCTATAATAGCGACTCGGAACAAACCTCATCCTCATCAACATCTTCAACTTATCTCAAGTGCTAATTGGCCTTTCTCGACCCCTACACCGTGATGTAAGTACTTGATCCCACCAAGATATCGTGTAATCACGAATTCAAGCACCGCCAATTTTACCTTTTTCTCCTCCGAATAATTATAGCACTCAAAAATCATCTCAACCTTCCTTTCCCAATCTAAATATGCTTCCGGATCACTTCTCCCCTTAAATTGCGGAATAATCATTTTAATACTTCCCAAATTTCCATCAACTTCATCTCCCAAGTTATTTCTACCACGTCTTTCCATCCTATCGCCCCTATGCCTCGCTCAACCCATATCAATGTCATTTTCATCAAAATCATCCTCATCACTATGATACTCATCCCCCCTTCCTCTCCTAGATTCACACCTACCTGGCCCCCTAGCATTAGACATCTCCACTTGTCCCTGGCTAAGATTAGCAATTGTAGTACCCATTTGTGCCATCCATTCCCCTTGCCTATCCACCTTCTCTCTAACATCACCAAGTACCCTTTCAAACCTCCTTATCATGTCCTCCGATGCATTGTTGTCATTACCGTTTTGGCTTGAATTAGAACCTTCTCTTTCCGACATCATATCACACATTTTTTTATGCCTCACAAAGATTTCACTCGGAAAACACTCACTATGACTTTTTTCCTCTATTAAACTCACAACTCGGCCTTTTACCACTCAAAGTCTCCCTCCAAGCACTTCAAAGAACCAAGTGAACTAAATCAATTGTTTTACCGGCAATTCAAACAAACCAAATATTAATCAAAGACCACGAGACTCAAAGGACTTGAATAAGTGGAGTAGATGAATGTTTTGACACGAATATGTGAATAGACTCAAAAGAAGAATGAAAGACTCGAACCTAATTGAATATCCCAAAAATCAAACACAATGTAGGAATTGTTGTTGGTAGAAAAAAACATAAAATCAAACAATGATATCAAAATTTTTTTTATATATATATTTTTATTTTTTGTAAACAATACTTCGAGATGAACAGTACCTCGAATGTACAGTAACCCCCTTTGTTCATTTTTTTTACTCCTTGATGAAAGAAGATGATTAAACTACCAACAACTAAATGAAACGATGAAAAGAAAAACAAGGACGAAGAAGAACTAAGAAAGAACAAATAAAATAAAAGAAAAAAACAAAGAAAACAAAATTAACGACTCAACAAATAAAGAAAAGATATAACCTTCAATTAATTTGGAGCCAAAGCTCTGATACCAACTGATGCGAACCCCGTAGCAACGTTGACTATGAAACCCACAACGAGATTAATGAACCCAAGAAAGCCAAATTAATCCAAAGTTTAGGATTAACCCAAAAGAAAGTCGAACCAAAAAACCCAACAAGAACGACGCTTGAAAGACCCCTTGATCATGCAATCCAAGAATTAAATCCGGTTGTTTGAACGCCACAAGTTAACACTTGATAAGTTCGAAATTGTTCAAGGAAGAACGATGAAGAGAAGACAATTTATCTCACTTTTAATTCAATATCAATAATGTCAAAGGTTTTTTAACAATTGAATGGAAACTCCTATTTATACTAAACCTAAAAACTAGGTAAAAATTGTACAAAAGTCAACATAATCTCCAAAATATGAAAAAGAATCAAAATCTTACAAAATATGGAAAATTACCAAAATTGGAAAATTCGCCAAATATTTGGCTTGTGCGGCCGCATGATGTATTTCCATGCGATCGCATGGTTCAACTGAAATTGCACTTTTGATTTTCGGTATGCATGTGTGTGACCGCATGTAGTTTTGCCGGTGTGGCCGCATGGTGTTGTCTTCAGCCTCCGCTTTTGTCGCTTGATAACAAATTGATCCAAGTTGATTCGGCCTTTGACCCGAACATGAAAGTTGCTCCATTTTGAGTCCTGAACATGGTTCCATCAATGGTCTCTTGAACGAGCAATCCGATCGCTTGTTTCACTTGCTTTACCCTTGATCGCGTCATTGGTCCGCCATCGACTATCAACGGGTCTCGTCTCGCACTTGCCTTCATCGGGCTCGACTCCTGGATCATATCACAAAGTGTAAACTAAAGTGTGTACACCATAGTGTACATGTAGCAAGGTTCTTACCGATTGAATTTTGCTATTTGTACACTTATTTTTGACACGATGTTTGATAATTGCAGTGTTGTCAAGTGTCAATTGGATGGAAAAATTGTTTAAAATTTAAGGTGTCTAATAGGATAGTGTCACATGGCAAAGTGTAAATTAAAGTGTACACCATAATGTACATGACACATCCCGTCCTAAGACTTAAGACGTGACGTGAGCCGATGATAAGTGCCAGCTAGGCACTGGACCCATCACCAAGGCAAAAGTAGCTAAACTTTAATAATAAAGCTTCATTTGACCAATTAAAATAAAACACCAACATAATACTATCATTTGCTCGTTTAACCAAAAACATCCATAACATATACATCAAAACTGCCTCTCAAAAGGATAATAGGAAGCAGTTTAGATTACCATATTACATCATGATCATTGGTGTATATAAATACCAAAATAATTTTCCTCCAACATGATGTAAATATTTTACTTGATGATTACACAATTTCAAACAAAAGAACCTACAATTGGTGGTAGCAATGTCTGCAAAACTATCAAAATAATCTCCACCACCGCTCAGTCAACAGCCTCCTATAAGGAAAAGTTCAGGAAAATATGAGATAATAATCCCAGTGAGTGAAGTGCTTAAAAGTTGGTTGTACTGTCCTTTGTGTGTAAAGATATATATATAACGAGATGAGTAAGTACATTAAACAATTCAATAATTAAAAACCATAATCTAAACTCCACAAGCTGAACTGTAAGCGGGAAAAATGTAAGCTGAAGACTAATAATCCACTGTATAATTAAAATTCACATCAAAATATATATCCCACGTAAACATCTACTAATGATCTGAAAACCATAAATCATATGTACATAAACCGTCTGATCAATATTCTGTACACGGCCGTAGCCCCTCAGTGTACAAGAT